GCCCTCAAAGCCTGTCAGCATCCATGCAATATATCAAAAAACATTTTAATAGGCAAATGAGGTAGCAGTATCTTTTCCTGGTATTCAAACATATGTTGACAATACTTAAAATAGTGTGATCAAAGCAGAATCTAATTGGACCTTCTCAATATAACATCCAGTATTTAGGATCAAAACATTACCTTCTAAAAACTACCACATTCTAAATCCTTCAAAAATCCTATCCTCTATAGTAAAAGCCCAGCGACCTAACGGCAGAACGACCAGTCGACCAGTAGCTAAGACGTGCACTGACCACCAGAGGTCAGACACTCAACACAGGAGCTTCCCCCTGGTGGTCAGTGTGTTCCCACAGTGGGAGCACCGCTTGGCTGACCAGGATGAGCAGTGCTCCCACAGCAAGCAGATCCGCTCGGGCCACGCCCCCACCAGTGTACGAATCCCATGCACCCGGCCTCTAGTAGGATTATAAAAGTGAATACATGGTTGCTTTTAAGCTTAAATTTTTTGTTTATTAACTTTTCTTATTCCCTCTGCTATTATTACATTTTATTTCTATCACAACAGGAAAAGTTAATCTCACTTCAAATAAGTTTTTAAAACATAAATTGTTAAACTATCTCATTTCTAATAAGTTTTGTAATCTGTATATATTTATGTTAGGAGCCTACTACAACTAAGATTACTAATTTTAGAATTGTTTCTTACCTGTTCATTATGAATTACAATTAATTTTACAATAACTATGTTTATAAGATTTCCAATACTTGAGTCCTTGTAGATTGCTGCAACCTGCAAGGAAAAAGATACATAGTATTAAATGTCTAAAATGAATATTTCTTTTCAAAAGTAAACTGAAATCAATCCAAGAGCATCAATTCTCCAACTTAGCTGCATATTGGGTGCTTTTCACAAATTCTGACACTCAGGCCACACCCCTTAACAGCTAAGTCAGAATCTCTAGGCTTGAGACTCAGTTATCAATATCTCATAAAATTCCTCAGCATTTATTTTAAATGATTCCAGCATGAAGCCAACTTTGAGAACCAGTATCCTAATCCTTGCTACTGAGATTGGTCCCTAAATCAGCAGCATCCACATCACTTAGAGCGAATAAGAAATACAAAACCTCAGGCCCCACCCTGGACTAATGAATGGAAAATCTGAATTTTAACAAGATTTGAACATGCATCAGAGCTTGGAAAATACTGTTATGGATGATTCAGGAAGAAATTCACTTCGTTCTGTGTCACAATCCACAATCTATGTGCCATGATACTTCATAATAAATATGTAAGTTTCACCTATTCTTTTACCTGATTTCTTCTGCCATGGTTGAATATTTCCAATTCTGAACTTATGATTTTTAATGATTAGCACTACTGGAATCCATGGAGCTTGATTCATCCAGAATCATATAAAGAACCATAGGAGAGGTTGTGGGTCACAATCTGGTTCTAATTATTCAAAATTGAAGAACACAGCCTATGATGCACTCTGCATGGGCTCAGTTTGTGATTCACAATCAAGGTGCTATCCAATTCACTCATTCATATCCTCTACTTGGAGCCATCACAGAGGTTACCACTGCAGTAGGAGTGTCTTCCATGGCCTATGCCTCCACTTTGTATTCCTCTAATGACATAACTCTATGGACCTGGACCGCCTGTGCAATAAAAATTGATTCTGACACCGTCTCCAGGACCACTGCCCAAACCAAGGTAGCAGTTGCTTCAGGAAGTATTACTTCCCTCCATTATTTAAAAAATATTCAGCATCTATTCCCGGCTTTGTTGGCTAGAAGACATGGTCACTGATCTTGTGGAGAATACAATTTGCTAGAAGTACAGGTAGTGGAGCCCTCACTCCACCAGCACAATGAATAACCTAACTGCTTCTGCGGCTTCCAATGCCACATGGAACACTACCTGAACAAGAGCCACAGCATCTCCAGAGATGCCAACAGTGTGAGCTCAGCATGGACTTATGCATTCCAGCACCTTTCCTACTGTTTTAGTGCCGCAGCCACAAACACAGGTTTGTCATCTCTCCCTGAAGTGAGACCTTTGGCTTTGGGGGGTGGCATTTTTTGGCAAGAGTGGTGGTTACCCCAGTGGGTTTGAGAGCATGTTAAGATGGTGCCAATCAGCCGAAACCGGTTTGGCTCAGTGGATAGAGCGTCGGCCTGCGGACTGAAGGGTCCCAGGTTCGATTCCGGTCAAGGGCATGTACCTGGGTTGCGGGCACATCCCCAGTGGGAGATGTGCAGGAGGCAGCTAATCGATGTTTCTCTCTCATCGATATTTCTAACTCTCTCTCCCTTCCTCTCTGTAAAAACTCAATAAAATATATTTTTTAAAAAAAGATGGTGCCAATCAGATGGTTGGTGTTTTCAAGAAGGTCTGTTAGCCCTGCAGTATTGCTCCCTTTAAAATGAGAGCTGTGGAAATCTATAGCTGAATTGATATTCATTTTTACATGCAACTATTAAAAATATAGCAAAGTAAGCCAGTCAGAGAAAGACAAGTACCACATGGTCTCACTCATGTGGAATCTAATGAACAAAAACTGATGAACAAAATAGATACAAAGACATAGAAGAATTGAACAGACTGTCAAACCTCAGAGTGAAGGTGGGGAGGGGAGGTGGGTGGGAAAAGATCAACCAAAGGACTTGTAGACATATATGCATAACCTGTGGACACAGACAATAGGGTGGTGAAGGCCCGGGGACAGAGCAGGCTAGAAGAGGTCAATGGGGGGAAAAGATGGACATATGTAATACTTACAACAATAAGGATTTAATTTAAAAATAAATAAAAATATATCTAGTGTAGATAGCAGAGTAGACCCATATTTGTGACTTCAGAGTTATGCTTTAATTCTGTAAGTTTAAAAGTAGATGCTTTTATAAGTCAAATTACTAGGTAAACAGTGCACCTCAAAGGTGTGCACAAAGGCTTCCTCCCTCTCCCATCCCCACCTAAAAATAAAATGGTTGTGAAGACTTCTATGTCACAGGGAATCTTCCATTCACAGTACTCCAGAGAACAGAGCCGAAGACTCTGAAGTATCAAAATGGCTTCTTTCTCTACTCATTGCCCAAATATGTTGACTAAAAATGACAACCTGGATGTTAGAATATTAGCTATAAAGTATATAACCACAAAAATTTTTCAGTTTCAGAAGGAAACACATGCTGCATCTTTAATGAAAGGTGACCAGCCTCCTGGGTGGAGTGTGAAAACATATTCCCAGTGTTCTGACAGTATTGGTTGCCTCTGGCACCAATCCTGACCAGGACCAGGGAGCGAGCAGGTGGGGGATTTTAGCTGATAAATGACTCTAAATAACAGTAACAATGTTCTAATAAGTAGGGTTGATTCCTGAATATCACATGATGCTCCATCAATTTACATCAAATCTATAATAAGGTGAATATTGTAAAGTCAATCCTTTGTAAGCACAATGGAGTATGGAGGCTTCTGACATAAATGTTTTCAGGATTTGTTAAATAGTAAGTCACTGAATATCAAAATCAATTTGTTGAAGAAAGTAATTGCCTTAGTTTATACATACTTTGGTGATTTAATAATGCATATGTAAATGCCATTTTAATGTGATAATGTCACCTAAATTCTATAAGGATAGGAACTTTGGAATAGCAAATAAATGAATATCTCTGCTCATTTAAACCACTTATTTCATTAGAGATACTATACACCACAATTGTGCTCTTCCCAGCTAATTTTAATGTTAATTCCAAAACCCTTAGAGATCACTAACTTATTTTTACAACATGAGTACACCATTCTAAAAAGTGAATAAAATCACACAGATTATTCCTATATCACTGCTCTCAGACATTTTGTCAAATTGTTGAAAGCAAAGAAAAACGTTAAGATAGCACTATTCTTGACTGTGTGCAGGATGGGTAAGGATAGATAATCTCTTTAAATTATAATCCATTAGCGCAATGCTGAAAGTATTCGGCAATTTCCTCCTTATACATGGAGCTCAACACACAACTACTCTTTTTCATCACTTTGAATTTTAAATGGCTCTCAATCATATTCCAAGTTTAAATCACATTTTCTTGTGTGTTTTTTCCCCTAAATTACTATGACCAAGAACATTTCCAATATCCTGATTATGTTTGAATAAATTCAGTCAGTTAATGTCTTCTTATAAATTAGGACAAAATATGTAAAACTTGAATCGGCCCCTGCCTCAACTGCAGGCATCTGGGGACACGTAGGTGGAGACAACATCTCTCTGAACTCTCTAGAGCAGTGGTTCCCAACCTTCCCAAAGCCGCGACCCTTTAATACAGTTTCTCATGTTGTGGTGACCCCCAACCATAAAATTATTTTCGTTGCTACTTCATAACTGTAATTTTGCTACTGTTATGAATCGTAATGTAAATATCTGATATGCAGGATGTATTTAGGCAACCCCTGTGAAAGGGTCGTTCGACCCCCAAAGGGGTCATGACCCACAGGTTGAGAACCACTGCTCTAGAACAATTTTGGAAATGGACTTCACAAGTGGAGATATAACAACTTGGACTTCATTTTGCAATCTCTCCATAGTTCACCAGCTGTCCCCGTTTGCCCAGGACTGAGGGGTTCCCAGGGACATAAGACTTTTAACACTACAACTAAGAAAGTCCCAGGAAAAAGTGCCACTTTTTTTCCAAGTTTCCTCTCATCTTTACTTGTTTACATCTACAAATATTTATGTGATCCTAGTTTTTCACTAATAAAAGAACCATGTATGTGCAAAGCCCTAAGGTCTGCTGACTTTCTTGTATCCTTACTGAACATTATTTCAATGGAAGAGAAGAAACAACAACACTAAACCCAGGTAATTTAGAAGTCACCTGAAATTTGACCTCTGAGGAGGAAAAAAAAAAGCATAACAGCAGTGTTCTTGGCCTCTGCCTGGCCCAGATGCCACAGGGTTCCTGATAATATAATCCACCCAGTGGATCCAAGGAACCCACTCCTCATATACAAGATGTATAAACTCAACCAAGACATGGCTCATGGGGTTGGACTCTGTTCGGGTAACCCTGGGAGCACGGTCCTGAGGGAGTCCTGGAAGGAAGGACGGGTCTAGGAACCACCTGCTGGTGCACAGAGCCTCAGCCAGGACCCTGATTCTGCGCTGCAGGGGACACAGCCTCGGGGGCCGGGGCCATCTACAGGAGCCTTCTCTGCCAAGCATTCGTCCGTTTTCTCTCTTCTCTCTCTCTCTCTCTCTCTCTCTCTCTCCTTCCTTCCTCTCTTTCTAAATCAATAAAACATATATTTTTAAGAATACAGATAATATAACTTTTAGAATACGGCTTTATCACCAAAACTGCATATAGCTATTCCAAAATTACTCTTGTGTTTGTATACTTCTAGTTAGCATTTTCAAAGCATAGATACTGGAGTTATATGTCATTTAACATGATTCAAAACCTGCTGTTTTTACAAAATCTAGTATTTTCCTTCAGTATCACTACCTCCTCCCTAATTTTCTTAATGATTATCATTTCCTTTAAACATTTAAAATGGCAAAGTTTATCCCACAGTGTTCCATATAATTGATGCAATTTTCTATATATCAATTGACATCTTCCATGTCACTTTTCTCATTAGAACCCTTCATAATGAACATGCCACACCCACATTTAGATAATTATACACCTAGATAATTACATACCCAGATAATTACTTCAGATTCAGAAGTAAAAGTAAGTGTCATCAGGATAAAATTTTATGTACAGTTCTGTTATCATTTTAAAAATTAAATTCAATTAAGCAAAAAAAGTAGATGTCTGTATTATATAAATTTCAGAAAATCATTTTGAATCATCTCTTTTGTCTATTATAATGTCACACTAGTGTCCCAGTGCATGGATTCATGCACATTGAAAGGAAATTAATTAGAAGATTCATGTGGTAATTACATTATTGCAAAAAATTACGTCAAAATAGTATATATAATATCTATATACTGGTATATAAAAGCCTAAGCAACCAGCTGACCGAACAGTAGCTATGATGCACAATGACCACAAGGGGGAAGACACTCAACCCGCAGGCATGGAAACATGGAACAGACTGACGACTCTCAGAGGGAGGTGGGAAGGCGGGAGGATGGGAAGAGATTAACCAAAGATCTTATATGCATCTTATATGCATACTAGAGACCCGGTGCACGGATTCAGCCTGGCCTGTGGAAACTGGGCCAAAACTGTTTCTTCGACATCTCCCAAGGGGTCCCGGATTGCGAGAGAGCACAGGACAGGCCGAGGGACCC